TCAGCCAGAGTATATGTCTCATTCTGTGTCACCTGCAGTACCTAATACAACAATGAGCAGACCTCTGTACTTCAGCCAGAGTATATGTCTCATTCTGTGTCACCTGCAGTACCTAATACAACAATGAGCAGACCACTGTACTTCAGCCAGAGTATATGTCTCATTCTGTGTCACCTGCAGTACCTAATACAACAATGAGCAGACCACTGTACTTCAGCCAGAGTATATGTCTCATTCTGTGTCACCTGCAGTACCTAATACAACAATGAGCAGACCACTGTACTTCAGCCAGAGTATATGTCTCATTCTGTGTCACCTGCAGTACCTAATACAACAATGAGCAGACCACTGTACTTCAGCCAGAGTATATGTCTCATTCTGTGTCACCTGCAGTACCTAATACAACAATGAGCAGACCACTGTACTTCAGCCAGAGTATATGTCTCATTCTGTGTCACCTGCAGTACCTAATACAACAATGAGCAGATCACTGTACTTCAGCCAGAGTATATGTCTCATTCTGTGTCACCTGCAGTACCTAATACAACAATGAGCAGACCACTGTACTTCAGCCAGAGTATATGTCTCATTCTGTGTTACCTGCAGTACCTAATACAACAATGAGCAGACCTCTGTACTTCAGCCAGAGTATATGTCTCATTCTGTGTCACCTGCAGTACCTAATACAACAATGAGCAGACCACTGTACTTCAGCCAGAGTATATGTCTCATTCTGTGTCACCTGCAGTACCTAATACAACAATGAGCAGACCACTGTACTTCAGCCAGAGTATATGTCTCATTCTGTGTCACCTGCAGTACCTAATACAACAATGAGCAGACCACTGTACTTCAGCCAGAGTATATGTCTCATTCTGTGTCACCTGCAGTACCTAATACAACAATGAGCAGACCACTGTACTTCAGCCAGAGTATATGTCTCATTCTGTGTCACCTGCAGTACCTAATACAACAATGAGCAGAGCACTGTACTTCAGCCAGAGTATATGTCTCATTCTGTGTCACCTGCAGTACCTAATACAACAATGAGCAGACCACTGTACTTCAGCCAGAGTATATGTCTCATTCTGTGTCACCTGCAGTACCTAATACAACAATGAGCAGACCACTGTACTTCAGCCAGAGTATATGTCTCATTCTGTGTCACCTGCAGTACCTAATACAACAATGAGCAGATCACTGTACTTCAGCCAGAGTATATGTCTCATTCTGTGTCACCTGCAGTACCTAATACAACAATGAGCAGACCTCTGTACTTCAGCCAGAGTATATGTCTCATTCTGTGTCACCTGCAGTACCTAATACAACAATGAGCAGACCACTGTACTTCAGCCAGAGTATATGTCTCATTCTGTACAACCTGCAGTACCTAATACAACAATGAGCACACCACTGTACTTCAGCCAGAGTATATGTCTCATTCTGTGTTACCTACAGTACCTAATACAACAATGAGTAGATCACTGTACTTCAGCCAGAGTATATGTCTCATTCTGTGTCACCTGCAGTACCTAATACAACAATGAGCAGACCACTGTACTTCAGCCAGAGTATATGTCTCATTCTGTGTCACCTGCAGTACCTAATACAACAATGAGCAGACCTCTGTACTTCAGCCAGAGTATATGTCTCATTCTGTGTCACCTGCAGTACCTAATACAACAATGAGCAGACCACTGTACTTCAGCCAGAGTATATGTCTCATTCTGTGTCACCTGCAGTACCTAATACAACAATGAGCACACCACTGTACTTCAGCCAGAGTATATGTCTCATTCTGTGTCACCTGCAGTACCTAATACAACAATGAGCAGACCACTGTACTTCAGCCAGAGTATATGTCTCATTCTGTGTCACCTGCAGTACCTAATACAACAATGAGCAGACCACTGTACTTCAGCCAGAGTATATGTCTCATTCTGTGTCACCTGCAGTACCTAATACAACAATGAGCAGACCACTGTACTTCAGCCAGAGTATATGTCTCATTCTGTGTCACCTGCAGTACCTAATACAACAATGAGCAGACCACTGTACTTCAGCCAGAGTATATGTCTCATTCTGTGTCACCTGCAGTACCTAATACAACAATGAGCAGACCACTGTACTTCAGCCAGAGTATATGTCTCATTCTGTGTCACCTGCAGTACCTAATACAACAATGAGCAGACCACTGTACTTCAGCCAGAGTATATGTCTCATTCTGTGTCACCTGCAGTACCTAATACAACAATGAGCAGACCTCTGTACTTCAGCCAGAGTATATGTCTCATTCTGTGTCACCTGCAGTACCTAATACAACAATGAGCAGACCACTGTACTTCAGCCAGAGTATATGTCTCATTCTGTGTCACCTGCAGTACCTAATACAACAATGAGCAGACCACTGTACTTCAGCCAGAGTATATGTCTCATTCTGTGTCACCTGCAGTACCTAATACAACAATGAGCAGACCACTGTACTTCAGCCAGAGTATATGTCTCATTCTGTGTCACCTGCAGTACCTAATACAACAATGAGCAGACCACTGTACTTCAGCCAGAGTATATGTCTCATTCTGTGTCACCTGCAGTACCTAATACAACAATGAGCAGACCACTGTACTTCAGCCAGAGTATATGTCTCATTCTGTGTCACCTGCAGTACCTAATACAACAATGAGCAGACCACTGTACTTCAGCCAGAGTATATGTCTCATTCTGTGTCACCTGCAGTACCTAATACAACAATGAGCAGACCACTGTACTTCAGCCAGAGTATATGTCTCATTCTGTGTTACCTGCAGTACCTAATACAACAATGAGCAGACCTCTGTACTTCAGCCAGAGTATATGTCTCATTCTGTGTCACCTGCAGTACCTAATACAACAATGAGCAGACCACTGTACTTCAGCCAGAGTATATGTCTCATTCTGTGTCACCTGCAGTACCTAATACAACAATGAGCACACCACTGTACTTCAGCCAGAGTATATGTCTCATTCTGTGTCACCTGCAGTACCTAATACAACAATGAGCAGACCACTGTACTTCAGCCAGAGTATATGTCTCATTCTGGGTCACCTGCAGTACCTAATACAACAATGAGCAGACCACTGTACTTCAGCCAGAGTATATGTCTCATTCTGTGTCACCTGCAGTACCTAATACAACAATGAGCAGACCACTGTACTTCAGCCAGAGTATATGTCTCATTCTGTGTCACCTGCAGTACCTAATACAACAATGAGCAGACCACTGTACTTCAGCCAGAGTATATGTCTCATTCTGTGTCACCTGCAGTACCTAATACAACAATGAGCAGACCACTGTACTTCAGCCAGAGTATATGTCTCATTCTGTGTCACCTGCAGTACCTAATACAACAATGAGCAGATCACTGTACTTCAGCCAGAGTATATGTCTCATTCTGTGTCACCTGCAGTACCTAATACAACAATGAGCAGACCACTGTACTTCAGCCAGAGTATATGTCTCATTCTGTGTCACCTGCAGTACCTAATACAACAATGAGCAGACCTCTGTACTTCAGCCAGAGTATATGTCTCATTCTGTGTCACCTGCAGTACCTAATACAACAATGAGCAGACCACTGTACTTCAGCCAGAGTATATGTCTCATTCTGTGTCACCTGCAGTACCTAATACAACAATGAGCACACCACTGTACTTCAGCCAGAGTATATGTCTCATTCTGTGTCACCTGCAGTACCTAATACAACAATGAGCAGGCCTCTGTACTTCAGCCAGAGTATATGTCTCATTCTGTGTCACCTGCAGTACCTAATACAACAATGAGCAGACCACTGTACTTCAGCCAGAGTATATGTCTCATTCTGTGTCACCTGCAGTACCTAATACAACAATGAGCAGAGCACTGTATTTCAGCCAGAGTATATGTCTCATTCTGTGTCACCTGCAGTACCTAATACAACAATGAGCAGGCCTCTGTACTTCAGTCAGAGTATATGTCTCATTCTGTGTCACCTACAGTACAATACAACAATGAGCAGACCACTGTACTTCAGTCAGAGTATATGTCTCATTCTGTGTACAACCTGCAGTACCTAATACAACAATGAGCAGACCACTGTACTTCAGCCAGAGTATATGTCTCATTCTGTGTCACCTGCAGTACCTAATACAACAATGAGCAGGCATCTGTACTTCAGTCAGAGTATATGTCTCATTCTGTGTCACCTGCAGTACCTAATACAACAATGAGCAGACCACTGTACTTCAGCCAGAGTATATGTCTCATTCTGTGTCACCTGCAGTACCTAATACAACAATGAGCAGACCACTGTACTTCAGCCAGAGTATATGTCTCATTCTGTGTCACCTGCAGTACCTAATACAACAATGAGCAGGCCTCTGTATTTCAGCCAGAGTATATGTCTCATTCTGCGTTACCTGCAGTACCTAATACAACAATGAGCAGACCACTGTACTTCAGCCAGAGTAAATGAATCTGATGAAATTGGAAAACATTATGACAACACAGTCAAAACCCCTTGGGTGAAACATTAATGTTGGGAAATTAGGTTGTGTTGAAGTAAATACTTGGTCCTTGTGTTTTCATTTTTTAGTAATTATTCTGTGGTTACATTTGTGGATATTGGCTTAGATGGTATGATAAACATAACTCAAACATCATCAATCATCCGTGTTTAGATATTTCAGCGTTTCTTCTACATTCAGTACTGTTATGAAGCAAATGTTCAAACAAATACTGTAGGATTCTCATCATTATGTACATATCTGATGACATTCATAACCCTTTCCGAAAGTTTACTTTGTGTTGCATCAGATGTAGATCTTGTAGAACAAGTGCCCTCCCTATTTGGCTATGATTATAGGGATAAAAACAATGTAGAAAACACCTTGCATTTATATCTGGACATTTTCTGGTCATTGACATTTCCCAAATTTTCTTTGCTTCTGCCAGAAGGAATAAGTTGTGAGTAATGACAACGTACCTGTGTGACCCTGACCGTGAGTAGGACGACCCATGCGGTTCTTCTGAAGAGAAAGTGGATCAAAATTATTTAACATAAGTCATTTTACACTACTCCAAGGGTACAACAAATGTATTGAACTGCTGAGACATTTTGTCAATAAATTGGTGAAGCTTATGACAAGATCTCAGTTCTATGAATGCTAGACCTTGAACACTTGTACACCTTAGTGACAAACATTTACCAGTACACAATGACATTAACGTGATGTTGGGATATTGTTGTGTCCTCCGAAGAGGGTACTTAAGACCACATCATTCAATGTATGTTGATCATTGCCCAAGTTTTAATCATAGAATGTTTGTAGTTTTAATTTATGGCTATTGGCTAAATTGCTCAAAATTCGCCAACAGATGAGGGATGATGTAAATCCAGCTAGGGTCCATGCAGGTAGCAAAAATAATGTAAGTCCCTATGGTCCCTAGCATGGTGATCTCCCTTCAGTTGCTGGCGATCCATAGCCCGATTTTATATTGTGTTGTCTCTGAAATTATTAAGCATTCTACACTGAACTCAAACTAGTTTTAATTAATTTGTGATAATCTGATCATTATACTGTCCTACGCTGACAGCTTTTTAAAAATATATACTACCCATCAAAAGTTTAGACTCACTTAAAGCACTCACTATATGTTATGCATATATGTGTGGTTACATCGAAGATGAATTTCTCCACTAACTTTGGGGAACCAACTGGAAACTTTATGCAGATGAATTGCACGAGGATCATGCATTAAATTGCTAAAAAGCATGTGTAAATGTCGTGCATGTGAACAGCTGTGTTGTGGTATACAATTTTGTTAAAAATTCGCCAATTTTCACTCAGTTTCATAATTTTTTTAACCCATGACAATAACCTTTTCAAAACGTTACGAATTTGTTTTACAATACATTAGTTCATGTGTAAACAGTAAATCTAGTTTAGAACAGTTGACTTAAGTAGCTACATTTACACTAGTGAGTCTAAACTTTTGATGGGGAGTATACATGCATGTATTCTCAATATATGACTTTTGTCGTCACGATATGGCTGAAATATTGCCAATGTGACGTAAACTTTTAACTCACTCACTCACTCACTCAATACACTGTTCTATCTGTTCTGCAGGTTGGTTATCCTTGTTTTGTGGGAGGTCACATCCAGGTCTGTAAACATTATCTTCACAGCAGCAACCAATTCTTAGTCTACATTCAAATGTAATGCCAAGTCGATGTATTCTTCAAATTTGAAAACATGTGGTTTACTAATAGTCTACAACAAACCACAGTTGTCAGAATTCCATATTTGTGGAAACCATGGTGGCTGAGTGGTTGCATTGCTGACTGAATCTGGTGAGCGGTTCCAAATCCTGGATGAGATTCAACCCCATTTACTGGGCAAGTGCAATCCCAAATTTGACCACATTTTAACTATATATTGTAGATTTATAATACTTATCCTATCTCATGTTACACACTTTCCCTTGTTCTTTCGACCATGGTGTGGAAACAAAGTTTCCGGTATCTTGTAACATCTCACCCGAACACTTCCCCTACCCCCTCTGTTGATGTGTGTAGTCATAATAAGGAGCCCATGTAAAGCGTGAGTCGTGCCTAGGTGGATCATGTGACACAAGACTGTTTCTACTCAATGTTCAAATGAAGAAGGGAAAGTGCACAACATGAGATAAGATAAGTTTAAAAATAGAGCATGTGACAACTGGCTCATGTGGCAAGTCAGAGGTATAAAATATGTGATGTTTACATTAAACACTACATGTTGAACTGACTGCAAGTGTTACTTTCTTGTCCCACAAAGTGAGAATTACCTTTTGATTTGCCTCTGTCCCTGGCACCATGTGTTGCCTGGTGACCATACCTCTGAGATCCTGGAGTTTCCTCTTCACTGGAGTCACCCACATCTTCCTTCTTGATTCCTGGACGACGAACTTTCTTTGCATACTGAAACAGTGAGTGAGTTTTTGTTTTACGCCACTTTTAGTAATATTCGAGCAATATCACGGCGGGAAACACCAGAAATGGGCTTCACACATTGTACCCATCGAACCCGGGTCTTCCTCATGACAAGCGAACGCTTTAACCACTAGGCTACCCCACTGCCCCGCATGCTGAAACAGCAAGCAAAGAAAATGATTTAAGAGTACATTAATGAGTGAACCTTCAACCTATGTAGCTGTATTTGACTTACTTAGAGGTAGCTGTGTGGCTAATAGTACACCCCTCAAACACAAATATATACATATATGAGTTTGACTCACTCAAGCAATCAAACAGAAACTCTAACCTGCGTAGCTCTCTCTGACTTGCTGCCCCTGCTGGAGGTAGTTGTGTGACCAGTAGGATTCATGGGTCGGCCATGTTGTTTTGTCCATCTCTCACACGCGGGGATGTGATGTTCTGCTGCCTGCTTGTTGAACGTACGACCACACCATTTGCATGTCACGGGTGCTGGAAATTTGAGGATTCAAGTATCTATACTAGCCAGATAACGCTTGAAGTCTTAAACATGTAACATTGGATTTGATGACAGAAATACAACAACAGAAACGTTAACAGTACATGTCACTGAATGCAACAAAGACAAACCACGAGCAGCTATAAGAAGTAGAGAATCAATATTAAGCAGTGAGAGACAATACTGTGAAAGTCTAAAGGCCTGCATTCAAGGGCAATAAGTGAAAGTGATTCTGGTTTTAAATATGTAACATGTTTTGTCTGATACACTGGAGAACCGAGAACATGGAGGTGAAGTACCAGTGTACATGATGACAGTTAGACAGATATATCAAAATGTAGCTGGGTACATTTAGTTAGTAGCAGTTGAGATAAACCCAGTTACCCTCAGTGGAGCAGACAGAAATGGAAGGTACATATTTCGAAGATAATTGATCAAGCTTACTACTTTCTTCAGCCTCACATTATTGTCATTCAGTGGCTGTGAATTCATTTGAGACTGACACCAGTTGGCACAGATTTCAAAGGTAATATTTGTAGTTTTTGAATGACTGTTAGGTAACAGTTTATTGACATTGTGACCCCATCCAGTAGGGCCATGTATTGGCTAATAAACTGTATTGCAATAAATTGCAACACAGGCATCCCTATCCCTATGTTCTGCAAAATATCGGGAATTAATGTGTTTGACAGTGAGTGACACTGATTTTACATGCAGATCCTATTTCCTACATGCTTAGGAAAGAAGGACATACAACTCATATGTTACATGCAAAGAGCCCACTTGACTTTCACAAGGGACTAAAACCAAGCAGGTCTATGATAAGTTGAGTCACGGTGGTCTGTTGTTGATATTGGATGAAAGAACTGCAGTCGGATTCTGGCTTTTGACTACTGACTAAATACAACAGGCTCCCACTTCAATGATTAGCATCAACCCAGCAGGACTGTTTGTTGCTAATGCTGTACTCAGCAATAAGGTCGTGGTGACCTGTAACTAAGAAAGTCTAATGCTGTCAACCTCTGACTGATATGAGCCACCTCCGTATAATGACAGAGAAAGGGATCTACTGAATCACCACAGGGGTATTCTCAGGAGTCAGGAGTCAGGCAGCCTTCTTACCGAAACGTTCCTCCGCAGCTCTGGCCCTAGCTGCCTGCTTAGCCCTGCGGATATGATTATGGAGTTCTGCACGTGTGTGGCGCCAGTCACCAGTTGCCTTTTGAGGTCGGGAATTGATGTCTGAGAATGTATCCTCATCATTGGAGCTGTCAGTGAACTTGCCACAAGCCTGCTCATGTTGGTACTGGAAGAAAAATCCTCTAGCTGTCACAAACAATCGAGGCCTGTTCTGGGCTAGGAGCATCTTAAGTCCAAAGTGTTTCTGGGTCCAAGGAATCATTACTCTCTGAGCAACAATTTACAGAGGTGTCTGCTGTTTTCAGGATATAGTGGTATAGTCTGATATCACATGAAACAGTGATATTACCAGGCTATATATATGCCCTGAGAGGTTTCTCACAAAATTTACAAGTTTATAGACTTTAACAGGCTTCACAACTCACCACTCTAGAGGCTCTGAAAGCCTGCTCATATAACTCACCAGTCCATGAAACCGGACAGGTTTCGCATACAACTCATCATCGTCTATAGGCTCCAACACGCGTCCCAAACAACTCACTGGTTAATCTTCCCTCAGCATCATCTTACATTACACATGCAGTTATAAGCACTGATAGGCTTCCCACATCACTCACCAGTTTATAGGCTCTGACAGACTTCCCACACCACTCACCAGTTTATAAGCACTGATAGGCTTCCCACACCACTCACCAGTTTATAGGCTCTGACAGGCTTCCCACATCACTCACCAGTTTATAGGCTCTGACAGGCTTCCCACACCACTCACCAATTTATAGGCTCTGACAGGCTTCCTACATCACTCACCAGTTTATAGGCTCTGACAGACTTCCCACATCACTCACCAGTTTATAGGCTCTGACAGACTTCCCACATCACTCACCAGTTTATAGGCTCTGACAGACTTCCCACATCACTCGCCAGTTTATAGGCTCTGACAGGTTTCCCACATCACTCACCAGTTTATAGGCTCTGACAGACTTCCCACATCACTCGCCAGTTTATAGGCTCTGACAGGCTTCCCACATCACTCGCCAGTTTATAGGCTCTGACAGACTTCCCACATCACTCGCCAGTTTATAGGCTCTGACAGACTTCCCACATCACTCACCAGTTTATAGGCTCTGACAGGCTTCCCACATCACTCACCAGTTTATAGGCTCTGATAGGCTTCCCACATCACTCACAAGTTTATAGGCTCTGACAGACTTCCCACATCACTCACCAGTTTATATGCTCTGACAGGCTTCTCACATCACTCACCAGTTTATAGGCTCTGACAGGCTTCCCACATCACTCACCAGTTTATAGGCTCTGACAGACTTCCAACTTGACTCACCACTTTATAGGCTCTGACAGGCTTCCCACATCACTCACCAGTTTATAGCCTCTGACAGGCTTCCCACATCACTCACCAGTTTATAGGCTCTGGCAGGCTTCCCACATGATTCACCAGTTTATAGGCTCTGACAGGATTCCCACATGATTCACCAGTTTATAGGCTCTGACAGGCTTCCCACATCACTCACCAGTTTATAGGCTCTGATAAGCTTCTCACATCACTCACCAGTTTATAGGCTCTGATAAGCTTCCCACATCACTCACCATTTTATAGGCTCTGATAAGCTTCCCACATGACTCACCAGTTTATAGGCTCTGGCAGGCTTCCCACATCACTCACCAGTTTATAGGCTCTGGCAGGCTTCCCACATCACTCACCAGTTTATAGGCTCTGACAGGCTTCCCATATCACTCACCAGTTTATAGGCTCTGACAGGTTTCCCACATCACTCACCAGTTTATAGGCTCTGACAGGCTTCCCACATCACTCACCAGTTTATAGGCTCTGACAGGCTTCCCACATCACTCACCAGTTTATAGGCTCTGACAGGCTTCCCACATCACTCACCAGTTAATAGCCTATGACAGGCTTCCAACATGACTCATCAGTTTATAGGCTCTGACAGGATTCCCACATGATTCACCATTTTATAACCTCTGATAGGCTTCCCACATCACTCACCAGTTTATAGGCTCTGATAGGCTTCTCACATCACTCACCAGTTTATAGGCTCTGACAGACTTCCCACATCACTCACCAGTTTATAGGCTCTGACAGGCTTCCCACATCACTCACCAGTTTATAGGCTCTGACAGGCTTCCCACATCACTCACCAGTTTATAGGCTCTGACAGGCTTCCCACATCACTCACCAGTTTATAGGCTCTGACAGGCTTCCCACATGACTCACCAGTTAATAGCCTATGACAGGCTTCCAACATGACTCATCAGTTTATAGGCTCTGACAGGATTCCCACATGATTCACCAGTTTATAGGCTCTGATAGGCTTCCCACATCACTCACCAGTTTATAGGCTCTGATAGGCTTCTCACATCACTCACCAGTTTATAGGCTCTGATAAGCTTCCCACATCACTCACCATTTTATAGGCTCTGATAAGCTTCCCACATGACTCACCAGTTTATAGGCTCTGATAGGCTTCCCACATCACTCACCAGTTTATAGGCTCTGACAGGCTTCCCACATCACTCACCAGTTTATAGGCTCTGACAGGCTTCCCACATCACTCACCAGTTTATAGGCTCTGACAGGTTTCCCACATCACTCACCAGTTTATAGGCTCTGACAGGCTTCCCACATCACTCACCAGTTTATAGGCTCTGACAGGCTTCCCACATCACTCACCAGTTTATGGGCTCTGACAGGCTTCCCACATCACTCACCAGTTTATAGGCTCTGACAGGCTTCCCCCATCACTCACCAGTTTATAGGCTCTGACAGACTTCCCACATCACTCACCAGTTTATAGGCTCTGACAGGCTTCCCACATCACTCACCAGTTTATAGGCTCTGACAGGTTTCCCACATCACTCACCAGTTTATAGGCTCTGACAGGCTTCCCACATCACTCACCAGTTTATATGCTCTGACAGGCTTCCCACATCACTCACCAGTTTATAGGCTCTGACAGACTTCCCACATCACTCGCCAGTTTATAGGCTCTGACAGACTTCCCACATCACTCACCAGTTTATAGGCTCTGACAGGTTTCCCACATCACTCACCAGTTTATAGGCTCTGACAGGCTTCCCACAGTGGCTGCAAGGCATCCTAGCAGCTGCTTTGTCAGCATCTGTAACAACCATTTAAAGGTTTCAGTGATACAGAATAATACCATGAAGTGTCAGTTTCACCAAACAATATCATGTTTCAGTGACATGTGACAATATCATGATGTTTTAGTGACATGTGACAATATCATGATGTTTCAGTGACATGTGACAATATCATGATGTTTTAGTGACCCGGGACAATACGATGCTGTTTTAGTCACATGGAACATTATTATATGACAGGTAGATTTCTGCCTTTCTGATTGGCCCTCTTAGTCACATGACAGCTTTGCGATGTCACCCTCGCCACGTCGCGAGAGGTTGATATAACAATCCAAGCACCTCCCGTGGCTAAAAATAGATTTGGGATATTCCAGCTGTGAACTCTGCACTGCGTGTATCACACTAGATAAGGAAGCGATTAGTCTCTCGTACAGACCCAGAAGCAAATATATCCAAGAAAGCCCACGCAAGTCTAGAAAATGTGGCATGTCTAGATTTCCACAGCTTCAGGATCTGTACCAATCTGCTGAATTCACAAGCCAGAATATGGCTTGTAATTATCAGTTGATCTCTAACTGTCACTAGTGTTTAATATTAACTCATGGGGAGCCTCCCACACCACTCCCCAAGACCCCACGCTGAGCCAAGACCTCCTGCTTCTGCCTGTCCTCTCACTCCAGACAGACAACGTGTGTGATTACACTAGAGACCTGATGACTTATAAAATCTGAGTATTTTCTGTAACTGTTTAATTTTAGGGGATCATTTCGAAAAGTTTTCCATTTCAGGGTAAAAATGAATTGGAACTTTGATGAGGATGAAAGCAAATATACATAGCATTCGTTCAAATCAGAATACAGTGATTGAACAGTACTTAAGTGGTGAAGATGTGTTGTCTTGTTCTCCATCCAGGAGTGGAAAATCACTGACATTCGAAATTCTCTCTATTCAGACAAGTCAGTAGAAAATACAAGCCATGCTACTGTTATTGTTATGTCATCCTTGATTTGCATGATGAAGAGACAAACAGAGAAATATAATCATTGGGCTCAAACTAAAGCAGTGTACCTCAACGATGTAGGCATTCGTGACTTTATCCATAAACTTTGAAAAGACATTGTCATGGGGATGATGGCATATTGTTATCCCCCGCAACAACGAAGTTGAGGGGAATATAGAAACGAGTTCCGTCTGTCCGTCACGCTTTGTCCGAAGCATATCTCCTAAACTATTCATGATAGCTTAACCCAACTTGGTACACATGTCAACCATGATTCCTAGATGTGAGTTTTGATGGTTAGACCCAGAATTTTAGTTTTTGCTGTTTCCATGGAAACATGACTTAGGCTGTAACTATGAGTATGTCATCTTGTCCGGAGCAGATCTTCCAAACTTTACATGCTAGCTTCATCAAACTCGGTACACATATCAAGCATGAACCATAGATGTGATTTTGGGGTTTAGACCCAGATATGAATTTTATTTTTGCGGTTTCAATGGTGTCAGTGACATGGGACAATATCATGATGTTTGAGCAACCCAGGACAATATCATGATGCTTTGGTGACTCGGGACAATATCATGCTGTTTTAGTGACATGGGACAATATCATGCTGTTTTAGTGACATGGGACAATATCATGCTGTTTTAGTGATATGGGACAATATCATGCTGTTTTAGTGACTCTGGACAATATCATGCTGTTTTAGTGACATGGGACAAGATCATGCTGTTTTAGTGACTCTGGACAATATCATGCTGTTTTAGTGACATGGGACAATATCATGCTGTTTTAGTGACATGGGACAATATCATGCTGTTTTAGTGACATGGGACAATATCATGCTGTTTTAGTGATATGGGACAATATCATGCTGTTTTAGTGACATGGGACAAGATCATGCTGTTTTAGTGACATGGGACAATATCATGCTGTTTTAGTGATATGGGACAATATCATGCTGTTTTAGTGACTCTGGACAATATCATGCTGTTTTAGTGACATGGGACAAGATCATGCTGTTTTAGTGACATGAGACAATATCATGCTGTTTTAGTGACATGTGACAAGATCATGCTGTTTTAGCAACCAGGGACAATATCATGATGTTTTAGCAACCAGGGACAATATCATGATGTTTTAGTGACTCGGGACAATATCATGCTGTTTTAGTGATATGGGACAATATCATGTTGTTTTAGTGACTCTGGACAATATCATGCTGTTTTAGTGACTCTGGACAATATCATGCTGTTTTAGTGACATGGGACAAGATCATGCTGTTTTAGTGACATGAGACAATATCATGCTGTTTTAGTGACTCTGGACAATATCATGCTGTTTTAGTGACATGGGACAAGATCATGCTGTTTTAGTGACATGAGACAATATCATGCTGTTTTAGTGACATGTGACAAGATCATGCTGTTTTAGCAACCAGGGACAATATCATGATGTTTTAGCAACCAGGGACAATATCATGATGTTTTAGCAACCCGGGACAATATCATCATGCTTCAGTGACACGGGACAATATCATGATGTTTTAGTGACCCAGGACAATATCGGGATGATTTAGCATCCCGGGACAATATCATGATGCTTTAATGACACGGGACATTTCCATGACGATCCAGTGCCATGGGACATTACCATGTATTTCTGGTTGTGCCTCACAACAATATTCAGGGCACAAGGTGAACTAAAATTCACTTCACCCAATGCTCTGGCAACATCAAGTTTTCAATGAAATCACATATCACTCGTTATGCCATATGAGCAACCCAAACATACAACACTGTACCACCATTTTTATAAAAAGTTAAAATCAACAAACTCACCGTATCCGAATTCCCCGTCAGATGACATGTCATTGTCATCAGATGCATATGTCCTCTCTTGATGACCTGAACGTGGTGTAAACATGTATTCTTCATCCAATCCCTCCGCCTTCCCTGTTTCTGGGGCAACATTGCGTGGTCTCATCGGCGGTTTCTTCTTGGTTTTCCTGTGAGGACTGACAGATACTGGAGAGAGGATGTCAGCAAATGCATCTTCCTGCCCCGGCTCATAAAAGAAAGCATCAAACTCAGAATCTAGATGATTGACAAATGAGCGAAATGCATCAGAAAATGTTGGAGGCTGTTTGTTGTATTTCGGTGCAGCCTTTTCTTCTTCATATGAAGGAGTTCTCTCCCCTTTCTGATGCCACGGTTTCTTCCTCTCTTCCTTATTCTTCCTAAAGAAGGAGCTTGTCCAGAATGGATCTTTCTTCTTCCCTGGTTGTTTGTTTTCCTTCTTCTCTGACTGTGTTTTTGTGGTTGACGTGTGTGATTCTGAATACGTGTACCTTGGATTGTTGGTTGTTTCATAGAAACTTGACGGTTGTTCATTTCTGGTTTCTGGTTTCTTTGCTTCTCTCTTCTTGTTAATATCTCTCTCAAGTATCTCTCTGCGATCTTTACTTTGCAGGTAGTCATAAGCTGCCGAAATTTCTTTAAACTTTTCTTCCGCACCTGCATTCTTGTTTTTGTCAGGGTGCCATTTCTTGGCCAAGGTGCGAAACGACTTCTTTATTTCATCTTCAGAGGCTCCTGGTTTTAGACCCAAAGTGTCAAAGTGGTTCTTAGTCATTGTGACCCATGCCACCAGACATATGGCATGGAGGGGTCAAGAGTCAAGGTCAAGACCTGAAGAAGAAACAACATGATACTTTATGTGAGTTCAAGGTTTGTTTGTTAGCTGTTTAAAGTGACAATTAGAACTCCCACTTCCAACTGTAGCATCTGTGTGGGGCCTTGCAACCAGAGACTGAACAACACAACCCTGGTTGAACAGGTAAAAGATTGCTGGTTATAAAACCATCAGGCGTACACTTTGAAAGTGTTTAGCATGATGAGATTGTAAGGCAGTCAGAAGTGGGCATCACTGAAAAAACACAAGGTATAGACATTATTATTATTATTATGTTTTACAGATTAAAGATAGTATGCAGCAGAAAGGGTTCGGGTGATCCTGGCACAGTCAGGCTGGTAAGGCTCATCATCAGCTCAGAGCCCTCACCCCCTCTACACGCAGCCCAGACAGCGAATGGGACTTCTGCCAGGAAACACTGCCTAGTCGATCCCACCAAGAACTTTCCGGAGAATATGAAGGCTCCCCAACACTGCAGCCTTCTGCTTTAGACAGATTGTCAGAAGGGCTGTGCTCCCGATGGAGAACCCGGGCACTCTCCTGATCTGCGCCAAGAGATCAGGAGGTACCTAACCAAGGGCACCGAGAACAATGGGGAGCCTGACGACAGTATACTTGGGATGCAAGCGAGACATTGCAAAGGCGAGGTCCGCATATTTATCATGCTTTTCCTGAATCTTGCCAATCACATTGCTGTCAAACGGGACAGAAAATTCAATGATATAAATAAATTCATTGGCTTTATCAGAAAGGACAAGATCAGGTTTGTTGGCAGGAATTCTTCTAAGGCTGTATATGGGCCTATTCCACAGAACTTTGAAAGCATCATATTCCATGACGCCCTCGACATGTTCAGGGTCATACCATGGATGGACCTCGGAGTCAAAGCCACAAACATGGCGGAGACAGTAATAAAAGCAACGAGCCATGCCATCATGTCGTTTAAGATATGCTGTTTGTGCCAAAGAAGGGCATCAACTGACATGATGTTGGACAGTCTCTGTAAATTCATTACATAGTCGACATTTCATACTGATATTTTTTTTAAGAATCACACATTTGCGATTACGAGTGGGAAGTGACTGGTCCTGAGCAGCAAAAGGAAAGCCCTCAGTTTCACATTTAAGACCAGCCGACTTCATCCAGGCAAAGGAGTTGGTGGGATTGCTATTCTGTTCCACACACTGCATGTACACACGATGCAATGGTTTCTCAGAAAGCTTCTCTACAAATGACCGACTCTCGGCAGACTTGGTGAAGGACTTCACCTGGTTTACTTCCATCGCTGTACCGTCCAGCAGTACATTGCCATCAACAAAATCAACCTCAAATTTCAGATTCTGTCCAACAACCTTGGCATGCTTAAAATAGCTGTGGAATTCCTTGCTTCCATCATTAGTCTTGACATGCATTACCAGAGGATCATCCGACAAATAAATATGTGCAAAAGTACACAATAAAATTATTATTATTATTATTCTACAACTATTGCTCATGAAGTTACACCACCCATTGTGATGCAGAAAATGTGGCATGCAAGGACTATTTTAGGTTATAGATAATGAGCAACAATGTAATTTTATTCTGACAAATAACATTTGCTTTATCTAAATTTTAATTTGGGATGATAGGGAAGGTCTTTAATACCTGTGCACCTAAGGGATGGTGAGCTGAAGTGAATATGTCTTGAAAGGTAAGACTCCCTTACTAGGCGGGTAAAGAAAGGATATAGAAACACTGTGTTATTATTTACTTGTCTTTCTTAGAGTTTTGACATAATAGGGACTTATATATCAATAATCAATATCATATCAAAATACTTAGAAGAAATGAATTGTGACAAATGCAAGACCAGCATTACAATGAATTTTCAGTCAAATTATTGGAATATGATTTCTGTTTGTAAAATGCTTATCATAAATCTCACATACGTCTTTATTTCTATTTTGTGGCCTAGTGAAGTCGGGGATAACCTTCTTTTCCCCGGTAGTTTCTATCATGTGAGGTGAGGTGAAATGTGGTTTAACATCGTACTTGAGAATATTTCGCTCATATGACGACGTGTATGAGTGTGTATGTGTGCCTGCTTGTACTAGCCCAGGCTTAAGCTGGTTTTATAGTGCTCACTCAGTGAGATACCATGCTGCAGTTAAGCATGAATATCTCGCTCAGACACATTATACTGACACCAAGCTCACCAGCCCTTGTTGTACCCAATAATGCCGAGCGTCAGGCAGGGACCAACAAGTACCATATTTTAACATCTTTTGGTATGACTGGGGATCGAATCCGCGACCTTCCGCTCTCTGGGCAGACGCTCTAACCACTACAAGTACCTCTGAGGCAGTCAGTTTCCAATATACTTAAAAGAAATATTGTTGAATTGTATTTCACTGACCAATAAAAAGAAAGATGCATCATTTTATGCAGTGTTAAAATATTAATAATAGTACATTTTTAACTTTACTTTTTCACAAAATTTAATTTACAAAAATCTCTTTTCACATTCAAGGCACTTGGTTCGAAAACCCATACAAATGATTGCAGAGCATTTAAATTTTCAAGGATGTTTAGGACTCTTGTTTATTCTGGTAATGCAGGATTTCATGCAAGTTATAAATGATTAAAACCCCAACTGAGAGAAATGTTTAACTATATTTGAAATAAAACATTTCACCATATCACTAAACATATGGCCAACAAAGCCTAAATAATTACCTGCAGTAATCACAATCTAGAAATACATCTCGGGCCTATAGATCTAGCTCGCATTGTAGGCTGATTTTTTACATTTTGTCTGACAAAAAATCGATAACAGACTTGTTTATTGTATTAGTCTTCACACATCTGATGACAGAGAGCAAGCAACACTGTCAATTAACAACCACGCTTTAATCACCCCTCCCAATGTTCACACCGAATCGAGATTCACTTAGTACCGCTGTGTGAGTATCACGCAAAAGAGACGGTAGGCCGTCTTGCTTACACGTTACATCTCTGACGTGTAATGTAGTGATATATTCTACTGACATTAATATTGTGATATGCTGTAAATACCCAATGTGGAACTGATATGAAGCATTAGGGCACATTTTGGATTTGTGACATTCTTAAAAGAAATATGTATTGGATAATTTGGACAGCAATCAAAGGAACCGATCTCAAAACCCTGTGAAGACAACATACACAAATGTACATACCCGATATAGCACTGTTATGATAGTATTCCCCCCGCTTGAAATGTATTCTATGTATTATGATAATTTCTAGGGGTTAGGGTTAAGGTTTAGGGTTTAAATTTAACATTATGTTAGGTTTAGGGTTTGGATTAGGGTTAGGGTCAGGGCAGGCTTTCTATAAAAAAACATCTACACAAGCCATTGTATTCTTTGGCATAGAATGATTAAAAAACGGGGGTTACGGGCGGAAATCTTTCCCTTTGATACGTTAGTGACATTTTTACAACTGTTTATGCGATGATCGAAAATTGTGAAAAACAAGGAACTGTTCCTAAGCATCCGAAAACACTATATACAGAGTCTAAAAAAAACGTATTGAGAGTAAATAATTCAATGTTCTCAAGTGCAAGACGCGCATGTCGAGTTGATATTCATTATAACAACAATGTTCGGTTTTGACAGTTTATGACAGCAGTTCATACGTTTCTGAAATGTATCGTCACTTCATAAACATTCAATTGACTCATACCTTTATCTCAAAAACCCGCTATAAACATCCTCGCTTCGAACGACGATCGTCAATCGCCATTTTAACGCCATGTTATGATAATAGCTCGTTGGCTGCGCATGCTACATGGGATGTTCATGCTGTCAACAGAACACGCAGCGTCGTCGCTGTATGGAGCTTCAGTATATTTTGCATGACAACAATGTAAGCTGGTTCCCGGCTCCCTTTGCGCGTGCTAACGTATATTGCGATATGCGAGACGGGGCCCAGTGCTGCTTACTAAGCAACTAGTATAGTCGCGATCACACGTGAGGTTTTGACGAGTGTTTATTCCGACTAGCTCCAAACTAACGCTCTACCGTATCATATGAAAAAGATTTTGATACGTTCCTATATTTATTCAGGGATGGTTACAATCTTGAACGCCCTTCATCATCACTTACCGGTGGCCAACACATAAATGTATCGCACATGTGGTATCTTAAATCGCAACTGTTACCTCCCTTTGTCCGCTACATTTCTGCGCAGTCAAAGAACAGCGATACTGCAAACTACACGATTTTAAAACCCAAAGGAAATATAGTCAGGCTACTGATCTCATTATGAACGGGGTAGTTGTGTATTACCACACCAAGGGATGTGTTGTTGCTTTTTGTGTTGACACTTTTGTGCATGGCCTTTCATCCTCGTCCATCGTCCATGTGTATTCAGTTATGATAAATACCCTGAACCAGATGTTATATCACGAGGTCGTGCCCAAGTTACATTTCATTTTGTCTTGCCAAGCAAACCTCTGCGTGCTCCTTTGAGCAATATAGGGTGTATACTCCCATTATGTGCGTTCATTGAATTATGAACCCCGATATTGGAGAGGAATAGAGCTGCAAAATCTTAGGTGTGTATCCAGAAATGTTATTCAGACCGTAGTATTGTTACAAACGCATAGGTTCTGATATACCACCTTTTCTACAACTTGATGTACAGAGTTACATCCCTTAGATGGGATAGGAACCTTTCATTTGCACAAACCGGTGCTTGTTGGTTTCATTGTAGTGAACTACACCAGTTCGGGTTTTCCTGTCACAGCCTCCATACACAATGTGATATAACTGAACATCTGTTCAATACAACATTGCACTACAGCTCCAGCATTCACTGCATGCATATCTCGCCAACATACAAATGATAAGTTGTCCATTGATATCCATAGTTCCGTGACTTTCCGGCTACAAATTACCCTTATCTGTCGTTTTCCTTTATGAAGGCAAATAATAAAGGTTGTGTGTGTGTCATTCTGATAAACTATCTCTAACCAGAATGGTGAGTCTATATTCATGTTCAACTATACAAGGGGCGGTGGGGTAGCCTAGTGCTTAAAGCGTTGTACGTCACACCGAAGACCCGGGTTCGAATCCCCACATGGGTACAATGTGTGAAGCCCATTGTGTGATGCCGTGATGTTGCTGCAATATTGCTAAAAGCGGGGTAAAACCAAACTCAGTCAGTCAGTCAACTATACAGTGTTGTCGAGTTAAACGCAGTGACAGAACTTCAATGAAACATTAAGAAGGAAATCAGCCTTTATTGAATGAGGATCCACAAAAGGAAAGCAGTTATGTTAACAAAGTTTTACCAGAAAACATGGACATGTTGAACCATTCTATAAATGTGTCCATAAAACACTTAGTGTTGCATCAGCACATTTCAGCCATAGCGCTACATGATTAAGAATACATGTTGACAAAAGAATCACAAATACAACACAATATTATAAAGCAAAGTCGTTATACATATTTAAACATAACAACATTATTTAAAAATATTTATAACACGGTCTATGAATAGCAATAAAAGTGAGCGTTACGTTGTCATGTCATTGGTTCAGGCTCATAACGCCGACCTTCCGACCAAACTTCACGGTTGAGTGGAAAAAAAATATCGGCGTCCTGAGTCTAGTTTCATTTTGCCAATTAATAAAGGATTACGGGGACAATGAAGGATCAACGAGTTGTTAGAAGAGGATAATCCGGATTATGCGGACGAGAGCACACCTAATGAGAAGACGACAACAGTTTATATTTATATCAGTTTATTTCCATACTTGAGCACTCATCAACAAACTCAGTTGACAGATTTTAACATTTTTATACAATGATTCACATAAGTAAATACGTGACAATTTTAATAAAGACATCGCATATCCGATGCGTATGCATGATACATATAGCAGATATTTTTTCACAGAGATTGATCCACAGATTTTAACCAAAAATGCAACAGGTGGAATGCTGAATCAGCAAACTGTTTCACAGACAGTGTTCCTTGCCTGAGCTGGTGACGGATGTCTTCCAGTCATCGCTCCAAGTCCCTGTATTTCTTGTTCTTGGACGGACGCTTCTGGCCAGCAGCGTACTGGACCAGATTGTTTTCCGTGTTCGTCTGTTCTCGTGACAGGAACGGCACGATCTCGAAGATGTTTGGGTGGGCCTTGCCGACGTATCTCTTCAGACGTAAATGCCACCCTTCCAGGTGGTGGTTGGTTCTTATCCCATCTGAGTTGTGGTGGTTCCATATCGTTCCACTGCGATATGTTTACCGAGTGCGACGAGTTCACCTAATCAAAACATCTAGAGTAGATTATCCGCAACCCTAATTACGCATAATCAGAACCTAACCTTCAAAGGAAACCGCAGGTCGGCGTCCTGAGACTAGTGGAAAATCGAAAGGTCGGCGTCCTGAGACGACACCATGTCATTAGGAGACCATGACATGTCAAGCGTTATATACTTTGAACAGCACCATCTTGTGAAGTGATAACATACAATAGGGATTAAGCTGTAATCTGCGTTCATATATACTATCCAAAAAAAGTAGGGGATATTCCATTTCACATGCATTGTTCTAGTAATGATTATCAAGGAAAGTATTATCTACCCTTAGAGAGTAATCATTTTCCGTAAAAAGTATCGCCCAAACACAGCACTGACATGCCCACAATATGCACGTGGTAACTGTGATGATCATGGGGGTTGAACCTGAAATTTGCACGATGTTAGATGTGACGTTTCTCGTCATTAACAGAGGAAATTGGAATAAGCAAATATCAATTTGGTTGTTTTAGAACTCATGCGTAGACTTTCTCAAGATGACAGGTTACGTGCCCTTGGCATGCTACAGGTCGGCACAACACAGACCCTTGTGGCACTCATTTGAACGTTTCACAGTCCGTCATCAGTAGATTATGGTTCAGATACCGTGACACACAATCTGTCAACGACAGACAACGCTCAGGTAGACCAAGGGCGACAACTGCGGCTCAGGATAGATTTATCCGTACTACAGCCTTAAGATATCGTCTCATAACAGCTAATCAGATTAGAGATCGACTGCAAGCAGGTGCTGGTGTTAGAGTGAGTGACTAGACCATCAGAAATCGACTGCATAGTGGTCAATTACACGCACGGCGTCCTCGTGTCATTCCCTGCTTGAGAGATGGTCACATTAGGGCAAGACGTTTTTGGTGTTTAGAACGCCAACGCTGGGATTATCGACGTTGGAACAATGTAATGTTCTCTGATGAGTCCAGATTCGTGTTCCACATGTCAACGTCATTAGGCATGATCGTTTTGGAGGGGGATCAGTAATGGTGTGGGGTTACATCACTGCGGCTGGAAAAACGGACTACATGTTGTTGATGGACGTGTCACAGGTCAGTACTACCGAGACAACATACTGGCAGCCCATGTTGTGCCATTTGCTCGACGCCATGGCCGCCGTTTCATCTTCCTAGAAGACAATGCCCGATGTCACAGGACTAGGATTGTCACTGAATACCTCCAACAGCAGAATATCACCAGACTACCATGGCCAGCCTTAAGTCCAGACCTTTCGAACATGTCTGGGACATGCTTGGACAGCGCCTACGGCGACGTCAACAACGACCCACTACTCTCCAAGAACTTGCCGCTGCATTGCAAGAAGAGTGGAATAATGTCCATCAAAATGACTTGCGACGCCTCATAAGGGGTATGCCACGTCGGACCCGTGCCTGTTTGGCCAACAGAGGGGGATTAACCCATTATTGACTTGGGTTTTTTTTGGCATTATCAAATGTATGGAATAAAATTCCATATGGTCCCTTAACAGTTATTCATCATTTGTTCCGTTCTCGTTTTCACACGTTGCCTCTCATCAGCCATCAAAGTCCGATATCACCTACTTTTTTGGGATAGTATATATACACATATATTAGAAACGTTTCATAAACTATTCCCAAACAGGTGTTTCCAAATCCCAATAGGTAAGCACAGACCTTCACAAAGCAAACGTCCGGATCTCGGAATGTTCCCGGCTCTCGCGGTTTCATTGTGCTCGTTCCTTACGACTATTGGAGCAGGGCATAGGCGAGCACTGATTTCGTTCATACGAACTTCCTGTACATTACATGTCCGACAATTCGTTGTTGTCACATTGAAAGGACTGGTTAACATATAACATAATCTTTCAAAACAAGATTACTTTTTCGTCAGTATGATGGCAAACAGAAACAATTCTGTCAAATCAAAAAAATAAGGAGTGAAAATTCAGATTGCGTGCATTACAAGTAACAGTTACAAATGTATAAGCTATGAGCATCAAATGTTGCATTCATTATAATACTTTTTACCAAATGTGCGTAAAAGGTATTCAACATTTCGAGAATGCAGTTGGGACAGGTTGCACCTCACATTTTCTTTATACCTGGTATCGTAACTATTTGACAGTCATTCAAAACCACATGTTTATGATTGAGTCGGAATGATACGATGCTTTAAGCTAAAAGTCTTTGGTTGTTATATTTCACGCATATAACATGTCCTTCAACCCTTGTTGGGTTTTGCATACACGTCCCCAGTGTTGACATCTTCAGACACCTTTGGATCATCTTGTCTCTTCTTCTTGGGTTTCTTTATATATCTGAAACTGATGTTCACACAATGAGTTTTCAATGTGCCTCCCATATGTTGGTTTGTTTGTTGGTTGGTTGTCTCCCCCGCACTCAGCTATGGTTCAGTAGTGTGTAAATAATCGTTTCTGGACCAGTGGTGGTACGCAGCGGTCAAACGTTGACACGCATAAGATGCATCAACCACGTCCACGGGTGTGCTGGCCGGGTCCCTTTAGTCGTCTCTGACAACAAACACAGGTTAGCGATGACCATTTCTGACCTGAACAGGTCGTGCCACGCATTTACCTTTATTAATGACTGCATCATGGATAATAAACTAAACAATCGATCAGCCTCACCTTGTTGAACATTTGAAGACCTGCTTTTATCAGGTTTAGCATACAGGTTGTCTACGTCGACGTCACATGACGCACCCTGCTCACGTGGTGTGGACGTGCTCGTAGCTAGCATATCCACACTCGCGTATGCATCTGGAGAAACCTTATAATGTTAAAATGAACTCATGGCAAATACCAGTATTCCAGAAATCACATCCACTTATGTAAGTATAAACAAATATTATGATACACTACTGACAAAACTAGGACTTTGAATGCAGCTAACTTTGAGGCGGACGTGTGCAATACCGTGGCGTTGCAGCTGAACGCAACATCCAATCACAATGAAATTCCACATGCTGCATTAACAACGCGTGATGCACGTGCACATAGAAGCCACACTGTGTCTAAGTATTGGAGAACTCACAATCACTAATGCAATTGAGGTGAATACACGCTGAAAAATGCCTCCGAGGCAGTATCTCAATGAACAGACAAATTGGAGAATTGCGGGTATGATAGAAGGGGTGTTACGACGTAAATTGTAATAAAAACGCAAATTGTAATATTTGCAGCAAATTGTAATAAAGTTGACGTAAATTGTAATAAAAACGTAAATTGTAATAAAAATTGACGTAAATTGTAATAATTTTAGTTGCGGTAAAATGTAATAAATGTTTACGTAAATTTTAATAACAGTTTTAATCACTCGTAAATACGCGGGTGTTTGTTTTTCGTTGCATTTCATACATCAAATAAGCTTGTTAGGGGGATAACTCAAGAAAGAAATGATGGATTTTGTTCAAATTTGGTACCAAGGTATATTGGCGAGATTCACCGACACAAGTGAAATGGAGTGACCTTGAGATAATTTTCAAGGTCACAGCCAAAATCTGAGGGTTTTGCCAATATAAAGATTGTTAGCGCGATAACCCAAGAATGAATTGACAAATCTTAGCTAAATGACGAAAATGATATTCGTCCTGATATATAATCGATATCAACTGTCCTCTGTATCATGTCTTTTCGCAAATATCTTTTGAGGTTTTGATATGCATACATATAAAGTGGGGTAGGGGTGGGTTTCTAACGGGTATATCTAACACACTTGCATGCATGTAGAGTCGGAGAGGTGGGTGGGTGTTCTAACGGGGTATAACTACGAAGGACGTTCAAATAGTAGTCAGCCTCACCAAGAATATGATACAAATGCTGCTGTTTTTATAATTTATTTTTCTACATATTATCTGTCAGCCTCAAGCAAATTGGTTTTGCTATGTTGCAGCCTCACGATCCCCATTTTGTGAGACTTTGTAACTTGGCTTGGTACTCCCCAAAAACGTAAAATCTGCAATAAAATGCATCACAATCTTCAGGAAACAAAAAATGCTATGTTTGAGATTGGTAGAAGTCGGCTAGAATAAAACTTAGATATTAAACTGCACAAAAAAGCAATTTCAAAGCTACAATCGCTTGTTCAAATGACTCCCCATTCTGTTTACTGAAAGAACTCGAGAAAGAAATGATGGATTTTGTTCAAATTTGGTACCAAGGTTTATTGACCGGAGATTGGAGATTTACCGACACCACTTGAATTTAGTGACCTTGAGGTCATTTTTAAGGTCACAGCGAAGGTGTAACAGTTTTGCACATGCCAAGCTTGGTAGCCGCGAACTCAGGAAAGTATTAATTACAAATTTTGATCCAATTTTATAGCAAGGTATATTGGCGGGATTCCCCCAACACCAATTGATTGGGAAACTTGTGCTCATTGTAAGTTCACAGTGAAAAGTGTTTTGCACATGTCTAACTTTTTAGTGCGAAAATACAAGACAGAATTAATATGTTTTGCTTAAAGGTAGTACCAAGATGCGTTGGGAGTATCTGACGCCAGTCGAATTCAGTGACCTTCGGATTATTTTCAAGGTCACAGCGAGTATTCTTGCGATATCTCCAAACCTAATGGATGGAATTTGTTCGCATTTTGTATCAAGGCATCAGATGACAGTTTCGGTAACGTTTACATAATTTTCAGGGTCAGACAGAGGATAATTGCGACATTCAGATATCGACATGTGGCGGGGGGTAATAGCTATGTTTGTGACAAACGCTGTGTCATTACTAATTTTACTAAGTTTTGTTAGCATATGTTGGAAGAATAATGACAAATAACAGTAATGTTCACTTCCAGTCTGGAGTTCCATACCAGCAGAAAACACACCAGGAGGAATACACAAATCAGAATCCAGTGCCGCGAAATCAAGGTAAAACTGATGTATTCCCCTCACAAAGCCACAGATACTACAACACTGAAAACACTTTTTTATTCAACACTTGGAATGTGAAGAAAAGAAGGAAAATGAAAAACCAAAGACAGTAGACATAAAGATATTTAACTTGTCCAGGCGCCCTTTAACGGAAGATGAAATTTACTCAAATTTACACCTACCCCAAAATCAAGTAACTGCAATGAAGTGAAAGAAACCTTAACTGAATTCTGCAGAAAACTCCGACATGAGGAATACTTTTTCGAGTGTGAAAATGGGGAGGAATCCCTAGTTAGAAATAAAAAATTTTGGTGCGCCAAAAAAGGAACAAAACAAACATTTGGATAACTTTGTGGATCAAATAAACAGTTATCCAATAATTCTTTAAACTCTTTGGCCAATGATCCGAACATCATAATAAAAGCTGACAAAGGCGGAGCAACAGTGATAATGGATTCAACGAACTACAAACACATGGCAATGGACTTACTCCTGGACAAAGGTACTTATGTCCCGTGCAGTGAAAAAGATTCAGACAGTGTACTTCGGAAATTAAAGAACCTAACCAGTCAGTACTCAGAAGAGCTCACATCAAAGGAATTAAATTATATAACACATTTTGACTGCAAATCGAGCAATTTCTATGGCTTACCCAAAATTCATAAAAGTAAGGAGATCATAAGACATTGTGAAAGTGCTAAAAGCAGCTATGTTGAGATGGAACAGCCTGGAGATTTGAAACTCCGACCTATAATTGCAGGCCCAGCGTGTGCTACACATAGACTCAGTAATTTCATTGATATTTTATTGAAACCAATCTCATCAAATGTTAAAAGTTTTACTCGTGACACCATGCATATTTCCTTTCCTCCTTACCACAAAACGTTAATGAAACAAGCAAACTTGTAACTTTTGATGTTAACAAATTGTATTCAAATATCCCACATAGCCTAGGAATTAAAGCGTTGGATTATTGGTTAAACCGTTGTGAAGAACACATACCTGAGCGAATTTCAAAATCATTCATTTTGGAAAGCGTTGAATTCATCTTAAAAAACAATATTTTCTTTTTTGACGAGAAGTACTATAAACAGATTAAAGGAACAGCCATGGGAACCAAAATGACTAATGCGACGCTTGTCTTAGGATATCTGTAGGAAAAGTTCAAGCATGAAATCAGTCAAATACTTGGAGAGGATGTTGCCCATTATTTCATGGAAAATTGGAAAAGATTTCTAGACGACTCCTTCATAATTTGGCCATTTTCTGAGGAGAAATTAAATAGCATGGACGAAAATCTTGTTTTCACTATGGAGGCAGATGAAACTAAAACAGCTTTCTTAGACACAATGGTCATCAAATCGGGGCGGAAATTGGACACAGATATCTTCTACAAACCTACAGATACGAAACAATATTTAAACTTCAAATCTTGTCATCCGACCCACACCAAAAAATGTCGTCCATATAACCTGGCACGAAGAATATGTACAATAGTTTCAAACCAGGACACCCGCAATCAAAGACTGAATAAACTTAGGATGTTTTTACTATTACGGGAATATCCAAAATCTCTTGTTGAAGACGGAATAAATAAAGCTTTACAGCTTAATAGAGAAGGTCTTTTGACAGGAACGATGAAACACCAATGAGGAAAAAGTAATTGCTTTTGTATCTACTTATAATCCGTTGAACCCAAATGTGTTCCAGAACATAAAAACAAATATGTGCATCTTAGAACAAGATGAAAAACTGAAATCAATGCTGAAATCTAGAAAAATAATAAATAGCAAAAGACAAAATCAGAATCTTAAAAAGATACTAACAAAAGCCAAATTTATTTTAAAGAAACAGAATCAAATCCTACTGTGTCTACATGCAACAGAGGTAACTGTGGAATGTGTCGACATATTGTTGAAGGACACTCTGTAACTTTCACGAGACACGGAGAATTCTATGTAAAACAGAATTTTGACTGCTCTTGCAAAAACATAATATATGTCATAACATGCACAGGCTGTAATTATCAGTATATTGGTCAATCAGAAAATTTAAGAGCCAGGGTTCGTGTCCACAAACAACAAATAAAGTGTCCTGAAACCCGATGTATCCCACTCAGTGAACATCTAGATGTCTGTGCGAAAGGAAACGATGTTAAATTTACAATATTTCCTTTTTATCAAGTTCAAAATTCGGACAAAGTAAAACGAATTTTAAAATAACACTACTTCATAGACAAGTTCAAACCAATGTTAAACCATTGCAAGCTGTGACCTTGTCGCTCTAGAATGTTGTCCCTATTGTGACGTCACAATATATATGTAATGACGTCATACTGTAACCGCTACAATTTCCCTGAAGAGTAAAGAACGAAACATGTTGGAGAAAAAGGCATTCTGTTTTTATTTATCTATGTAATATATATATATATATATATATATATATATATGTCTGAGGATATATATATACATATATGTCTGCGGATCTAAGTCGACCATATCAGTTTAATGTCTATTAATATATCGCTCATCTCCTACGTATATACGAGATATTAAGTACTACGTAGGGGATAATTTGTCCTACGTAGGAGAAAATATGCCTTACGTAGGAGATATTAAGTCCTACGTAGGAGATAGTGAGACCAAACATTTTTTTCACCGTGGCCCTACTACACTTCCGTAGTACTAAACCCTTACTTGAAACTCTACATATTACTGTAAGAGACAGTTATCATGAACATAGAACCGTCCATAGAGAACCGTTCTCTGTCAAGTTTGTACAGGAGGTGGTGCGCGTGTAAACGTATGAAGTAATATCCGTTACATGTTCAACACGAATGGCATTATGAATTAGCTTCACAATATCATCTGCGACTGAATATCTTCG